AAATCTTGACCGGATTCAAACATTCTTCCATCACTGGTAAAAGCGATTCTTCTAAAATTGCCAAATATTTGTTTTTATGCACATTTCCATCAATAAAATGAAGTTTTCCTATTTCTTTTGATGACATACTGCCCTAGACCATAATGGATGCTGGAAATTTCACTTTTCTCTTCAGACAGTCAACATGGAATGCTTCATTTTTTTGCGAATAACTCTACTGCGACTGTCACCAACACAAACTTCGAATCGGGCCTCATCACTCCATTGTATTGCACACCATTGTTGAGGTGTCCATTGTCTATGTTCTTTAGCCCATCTAAGCCGATTTTTCTTTTGCAGTGGAGGTAATAGTGGCTTTTCTTTGCCCTATAAACAAGTTGTGCAACTTTAGGGTTTTTGCTTCACTTTTTTTTTATAAGAAAACTTACCTTGCATGTGCTAAATCCCAGTTTGTGGGCCTCTCTACGAGTTGTGGACCTCGAAATTCTCCTTCCAACAGCGTCACTCCACAGAGCACTTAATTGTAAATAATTGGCACGCCTGTTTTTCACGATTATTTTTCTTAATGCTCTTCGGTCGGCATTTGCGATATTACTTTTTTCACATATCATGGCTTAATATTAACTGAACCAGTTACGTTATATCTTCTAACAATATTTCTCACACTGTACCGCGATAAGTCTAACAAAGTTGCAATTTCTGAGTTTGATTTCCCAGAATTAAAAAATTTAATTATCAATAACCGAATTTTCTCACTAATAACCTTTCCTCTACCCATTTTGAAAACCTTAACTATCCAAAACTATTTTAAACGTATTCTGACAGCTGTGATTAGTAAAAACAATTGTCATGGCTTTTATTTTTCACAGCCACCTTATTTTGCATTGAAATGAAAATAGGTTGATATGCTGTAATTGCAACATGTGTTATTTTAATGCTGCAAATTTGATTAGGGAGTGATAAAGTTGGTGTTTTCTACTATATGTTATCAAAATATTCATTGTTAATATTTTAAAGCTATAACACCCTGCTACATTTTGTCCAAGGGAATATATTTAACTCTGATTCTTTATGGTGTTACTTATGTGTATCTGGCGTATTGACATTTGTTTCTGTAAATTTTGAACAAATTTTGTTTGGTTCCTGAGGCAATTCGTATAACGTTTATATGAGCTCTTAAGACAAATATATTTTCTCTCATTAATGCATAATATTCGCCAGAAACAAATCTATAGAGTTACTTAAACAACTGATCATATCAATTTGAAGAATATCTACCTCCTTATTTTTGGAAAATTTGACTCGAAAGGTCATAAACTTACTGCTCCTGTTTCTCACTACCAGCCTGGGAAAACGCTGTTAGTTAAATGTCTCCCCTTGGTTAAATAACGATAATGAAATAATTCTGAGGTAAACAATGAATGCATGCATTCACATACAGCTTCTTTGGCTTGCTGAGTACATAATTGTCACTGCGATTAGATCGTTTATCCGTTTTTGAATATCTCTAATAATTATGTTGATTGTAGCTATTTCTCATCATTTTGATCGCTTGACAGTCCCATGCTACTTGATAAATTGGAATATTTGGAATTGAGTGGCGTACGTAGCATTTTCTATCTTTGTCGGACTCTATCATGTAACACCCGCATCCCTCTCCTAGGCACCGGTCTGTGATCTAGACATTTCGTGTGCTCTATTCGGACAGTGTTGTCAGACGTTCAGAAAATTCTCAGATATGCTATATTTCAAAGTCAAATCAAATGAAATGAGGTAATATAGGGTCACTAGTACTGTATACATACCTCTGTGGCGGAGGCTAAGAATGACACGCTTCTTCGCCATACGAATCTTGAACATTCAGTTTTTGTTTTGAAATCTGATAAATTCACACGATTTTGATCTACCTCGAACTGTATCGCTGGCGTCACTTTAGTCGTACTTCAAGGCTTTTTTCCGCGGATTCAGTCCGATTGTAATCGCGAATGATACTGCAGCCTTTAAAACTTATTGAACCTCAAGCCTCATAGTTTGCAGTACTGGATCCAGCAGTCTTGGATTCCATAGTAATTGGTACATTTTCTTGCTCGTACTGTATGAAACTCCATTGGTTCTACTCTCGGTCTGGTCGCTGCCTCTTGTGATCTAGCGTTCCCAGAGAAAATCTCACATCGTCTGCATTTAAAGTATCCATCATACCTTACTTTCTGCATGCATCCTGTCAAGTCATTGTTAGAAGGCATGTAGCCGCACAGGGTTGGTTTCTCCTGTTCTGAAGCAGTTCTGCTGCTGTTTTGGAACATAGTCTAAAGATAAATTATGCAGTCGAACAGTAAATTGTGTTTGTTCTGTCGTCTAAACAAATTGTTTATGTTAGGATTTTTAGCATAGTTCTTAATTCTCCATTATAATCGTTTGACTTTGTTCCAACAATTCAATCGAATGTGTCTGTACGAAAACGGTATTTCAAACTGGACTCTCATCATTGTGAGAGAGTCATTTAAATTCAAGGAGCCGACTTTCCCAAAATCGATTTAATTTTTCCCTGACTGATTTCAAAGTAAGAAGTATATTAGTATTACCACCTTTTGAATTTATTTCAATTTGATGTTTCGTCAATCATCAACTTGATTCTGTCTCATAGACGCACAACTAAATAGGATTTTTAATTTAAAAATCATCATGGATAAACGTTGCCAAACCTTAGTTATTGCAAAAAAAAAGAGTTTCTTAGGTAGGCCTTGAAATTAACAAATAGTCATTTGTTTCATAATATCATCAGCCAAACTTTTTATGAACTAGGCATATGTGATCAGTCCTCATTTCCGACTTTAAGGATGTGATATTTTACGTATGACATGAGTTGATACTATAAAACTTGTTCAAAAAAGAGTGATGCTCCCATAATAGTTGGTCCTAAGGCATTGAATATAGAACCTGATGCTAAAACTTTATTATGTAAGAGTATTATTAAAAAAGCCTTGATGATGTTGCAGCTAAACAGAATAAATGTTATACCGGCCATATTTAAGCCGGTGCACACATCTCGTCCTGAAATTCAATTAATGGGGTGTCATCTATATCGCCTCCACTGTGCTAAAATAACGCTTGTTACAGTAGATATATAGGCAAATTACTAAATGACCTTTTCAAAATCTGAAATTTTAAGGCCAGCTAAGAAAATATTGATTTTTCTGTGGCATATGGCATAAGTTTCGAATAAAATGATTTTCGGAAAATTCAGTTTTTCACTCTGAATTGCGAAACGTTCTATGTGACATTTTCTTGGTTACCTAAATGAACAACTTTGCCCCCATTTTGGCGACTTCGTATCTCTTACCATCGTCCGAGATCTCAACGGTGGGGTAGGTGGTAGACGGTCTCTGACTGTCGAACGCGGAGGTACCACCCGGCGGATCTCTTAGGCGGAGCCAGAATCTGTGCATGTTGCATGCCAGAGTCTGTGTGGCGTTTCCCCTTTCCCCTGTATCCACCTATAGCCCCACGGTACCCAATGGGTGTTTAAGCCTTAGGCCTTCGTGGTAGTTGGATTATAAAAAAAAATGATTACGAGGGGGTTGGGGGGCAATCTTTTCTTGCAAGGATGATGCCATGTTTGAGAACAGTTATCTTTAAAAAAAGAACGGAGTATGTTTTTATTGCTTCTAAGAAAATTGCTGCGACCCCACGATGGACATTGTATTTGCACGTGCGAATGAGGCATAGGGCTAGGCATTCTCTTACATCAAAGAGGGAGTAAATGGCAATGCTGCTTCCCTAGCGTTGAGACTTGACCTCCCTCTAACCATTTACTAAATCACAAACTTCTATGCGGGCAGCACCGAGCCAGTGTTGCCATTCACCTCTGAGTCTTGTGATAATCGATTTTCCTGGACGATTTTAGCGTTTTTGAACTAAAGAGATTTATGCGAGAATTAAAAAGATGTGCTTAAACGGTGACCCAAAACTCTAGAAATGTTCTCTTGGATTAACACGCCTAAGGAAGCCACTTGGACAGAAGTATCAACATTGTATGTAGACCGCTACCTAAAGGATGTAACATACTCGACATTTGACCACCCCGAGTACCCAGTAGTATATAGAGGAGTACCTTCCATCCCCGTTGGTGGGAAGGGTTTCAACGGCATCGATTTCACACCCATCACTTTTCTTTCCGCCTTTTTTATACAGTCACATAAAGGTAACTAGATCTTTTGTAAGCAGTTGGTCCCAGCCATTATGGAAGCTCCACAGATTGGGAAGTCATCCATGGTATTTTATGTTATCTTATAGAAGAGTCTCCATTATTGCTGAAGCCTGACTGTCAGATTACCTGATGCACAGAAAAATTACATCATTTAGGAACTCAGAATGAAGTGAAAATTATACAAGAAATTGTTTCTCCTGCATGTATAAACTCATAGGTTTCCCATAAGAAATTAACTAAAAACCAAAATTTTTTATTTCCAGTATTTTATATTTGTTTAAAACCAAATCCGTCATTCTGAATGCATCTGGTCCCGTTCATGATGTGTATTTTTTTATTAAGAGGAAAGGCCAATAGAATGTGACTTTGACTTGCAAAAAGTCCATGTTTGATATTGGTGGCTACAAGCACATGAAGCTCAAGTAATTTGACACGCCGAATTTGAGTATGGCATAAAAAATGTTTAAGTATCGTGGTGCTTAAAAATCAGGTACCTGGATCACCCACTAATCCGAGCAATAGATTTACTCTCAGTCTAAATCATAAACCTTTATGATACGATTTATAATCACTTCCGAAGTTTAACAAATTTAAAAAATGGTACAACGCCGGACTAAGTGTACTCCGATTCAGCGGCCCATAAAATGTATTATAAGCATCGTTGAGCAAACATTTCAGAGTAGCAAATTTCTTACTCTTTTTATTCAGGTGCATCAGAGAATCTATTTGAAAAATTCGATAAAGTTCTGTGTGAGTCAATCTACTTGACGTATTTCTGTTGTTTTGTTTTCAGCCGAAATTAAAATGCCAAGTGGACACGTCGACATCCCCGTTATAGAAGACAATCACGATGGAACTGTCACGATAAAATATGAACCAAGAGAAGAAGGAATCCACGAACTAGCTGTCAAATTCAATGGAGAGCATGTGCAAGGATCGCCCTACAAAATACACGTAGATTCTATTAGTTCTGGATATGTCACGGCGTACGGACCTGGACTCACCCATGGAGTCACTGGCGAACCTAGCAATTTTACCATTTCGACAAAAGGTGAGCAATTCCACACTTACCCCCTGCAGTCTGAACACCATCATTTCTGTTACGTACCTGCTTCTGTAACTGTCGATACGTGCGCCGTGAACAAAACCAAAAATAAAAAATAAAAAATGTCAACCTCATTGCTTCAAATAATTGCACTAAATTTTCAACCAAATCGACTTAAGTATATTTATGATATACTTTTTAAGCTTCACCGCCCTGTATCTCAGAAACGAATCAGCTCCAGACCGAAAGTTTTGAACCGTAGTTAGAAAACACCCTTCATTTATACGCTTCTGGTCCTGACAATTATACCAACTTATTAGGCGTATTTCGCACATAGATTTCGCAGTATATTTGCCCTTAAGACCGCACCGAAAATGGAAAATGAACCTGTCCAGGTATACTCATCGCAACGTGATAGCGACGTTGTCAGTTTGTCGACAGGGCAGATCAGAGTGAGTTATTTTCGAAACTAAAGCATAAACCCAGGCATCCGCTGCTACTGGAGGCTTACTCATCTCTATTCTGGTCCCAACGTCAAATGCCTGGGGACTGGAGTCATTAGTATGGCTTTGACTGACTTGATCTATTTAATTTCCTTGTTAGGCATGTTAGTAGCTAACTTTTTTTCTGAATGAGACATTACTTAGTACTGAGACCCGTTTCTTTTTTTTTCAGGTGCTGGAGCTGGTGGACTGTCGATGGCAGTTGAAGGACCCAGCAAGGCTGAAATAAGTTGTCATGATAACAAAGATGGTACAGTCTCAGTCTCTTACCTGCCCACTGCCCCTGGAGAATACAAAATCTCCGTTAGATTTGGAGATAAACATATCAAAGGTTCACCGTTCAACGCTAAAATTACTGGAGAGGGTAGAAAGAGGAACCAAATATCTGTAGGTAAGTAAAATCACTACTATTAGTACTATGATTCAATATAAATGTTGCTACAGAATATTGTCAGGAACATTACATGGCAAATTCAGCATGTAAAAATATGAAAACTGTCCAAATATATGTATATGCGAAGAGAAAATGATCATGCGGAGAAGGGTATATAACAAAAAATAGGAAAATAATGGGCAAAATCCGCAAAAAGAATGAAAGTGGATACGAGCAGAAAATTGGATAGATAACCCGAACGGTACGCATTTCTGCTGGTTGGCTTCATCAGGCCCGAAATGAATGCACATATGCAACTACAAAAGTGAATTCGCAGAAACACGTATCGCTCGGGTTACCTATCCTATTTTCTGCTCGAATCCACTTTCCCTCTTTTTGCGGATTTTGCACATTACCTATTTTCCTATTTTTTGTTATATACCTTTCTCCGCATTGTAGATTCTGTGGGCTTGAAGTACCACAGCAAGTGGCTATAACCGGCCGTGTGGTTGTGGTTAGATGTCGCCTTGAAAATTCGAGGTCTTTTAGCCATTTTATACTACAATGTGTACTTAGGTTGGCTCTTGTTGTGGACTTCGTGTGTCATTTGTTTCCATCTCCATCTTCGTTTCCTCAGGTTACACCCGTATCCAAATGTATGGGCATGTTAGCTAGTTATTTTCGACAATAACTATGAATCCTATATATACATATATATATCTCTTCTTAGGTTCATGCAGTGAAGTATCACTCCCAGGCAAAATTTCCGATGCTGACATTAGGTCTTTGAACGCTTCCATTCAAGCACCAAGCGGACTGGAAGAGCCTTGTTTCCTGAAACGTCTTCCCACAGGAAACATTGGCATCTCATTCACGCCCAGAGAAATCGGAGAGCATGTGGTCTCTGTCAAGAAAATGGGCCAACATATCACCAACTCTCCGTTTAAGATCAACGTTTGTGAGAGAGAAGTTGGTGACGCCAAAAAGGTAAGTGATCATGATTACATTTATTGTTAAAGTTTCTTCTTTTTAAAACTCACTTAAAAGTAGCTAGGTCAATGTACATGTCATCTCTGACGGAGACATACTTTTGTTAATGCTGGAGAACTATTGAGTTGATCTACATGGCTCTATTTATTCAAATACTCATTATTTTCAGGTGAAAGTATCAGGAGCAGCGCTGAAAGAAGGTAAGACTCACCAAGAGAACCACTTCACAGTTGACACACGGAACGCAGGTTTTGGTGGTCTGTCGCTATCCATAGAAGGTCCTAGCAAGGCAGAAATACAGTGCAACGACAAAAGTGATGGTACTCTAGATATCTCCTACAAGCCAACTGAACCTGGATACTACATCATCAATCTGAAGTTCGCCGATCATCATGTGGATGGATCACCATTCACAGTCAAGGCAAGCAAAGTTCTACAGCATACAGTGCGGCAACGCTGGATAGATTCTAGCCACCAGTGGTGGGCGCTTTCACGAATACGTTGTCTACGTTTCGATATAGGCAATGAGTAGATGATATATACAATGCGTGTGCAATGTATACAAGGTATGCAATGTATACAATGTAGACAATGCATACAATGCATACACAATGTATACAATACGTATACAATATAGACCATACGTATGCAATGTATACAATGCATATACAGGGTGACTTCGAAGTTGAGTCATTTATTTTAACAGTGAGTAGATCTGATCAAAAGAAATGTTTTTTTCCTTTACCATTTTTCTGGTAAAATTAAAGTAACAAAGTTATAGCCCTTTGGAAGTTTGAGTACCGCCCTGCCTATTATATGCTCGTGTTTGGCGACAACGGATATAATCCGCCTGACCGGTTCATCGCATCGGAAACAAAAAAGCGAAAGAATTTGAAACGTTTATCACGATGTTTTTCGTCAGTCGATAACGCGTAAGTGAATAGTAGTGTGTTGTGTGGTTCAAACGAAATCAAAAATCGCACATGTTTACGAAAATGCTGAACTTGTGGACATGATTCTTATTTACGGGGGGGCAGTCTTTACAAAATGCTTCCGGATGCATCACGGATTTATGCGAATCGGTTTCCCAATCGAGTGCAACCAACCCCTCGTGCCTTTGTTAATGTAGTACAAAGGGCTCGTGAATCAGGTGACTTAAGACCTCACAGGTGAGGGCATGCTGCTCCAAGACCGCACGATCAAATACAGGTCCGCACTGAAATACTTGTCGGGAGGATACTTTATTAAACAAGGTAACATTTTTTTTTTATTTTTTTTTTTATTTTTACACACATATTTTGGTTTATCTTCCTTCTACAATCATTATCTGAAAATTAATGACTCAACTTCAAAGTCACCCTGTATAATGTATACAATACGTATAAAATGTATACAATACGTATAAAATGTATACAATACGTATACGATGTATAATACGTATGTAATGTATACAGTACGTATACAATGTATACAATACGTATACAATGGATACAATTCGTACACAATGTATACAGTGATGTAGACAATGTATAGAACAACATAAATGAGGTTCGGTTTCTTCGCAAACGTCAAAACATTACTGTACCGGCAACTATAAAGACGATATGATTGAGCGTGCTAAAGAATGAAAAAAATCGTTGACCTAGAGTTCATTTTGTTCAAAGAAGATTGCTGTATCTGCAAAAAATGACGTCAAGTAGATTGACTCTGTATTTCGTACGCCCTCTTTGGAGGTGTCAAAGAAAAGGGATGAGTCAAGTCGTGTCAAAAAGCCAAATCGTATCGTGATTAGATAGGTTCACTTACGTATGATAAATCTTCGAACTCTACATATCAAACTGTATAAAGCAAATCTATCATATTTGTTTCCATTGCAGATGTTGGAAAAATATGTGTGCATTTCGAATTATTAGCACATTATACATCGGACTTTTATCATTTAATTTCCCCGTTGTTACTGGGGTCAGAAGCTTCTTAATGATAGAATGCCTTTAATTAATACTAACCCCAGCCCCTACATCCCCCAACTCCCAGGTTACAACAACACCTACAAAAACATTTTCCGAAAATGATCAGGGGCCTGTGAAACGTCAAGTAAACAAAGTTTGAGCGATTTGTATCATTTTCTTGTTTACATTATCCACATGAATATCACGTATACAGTTCCCTATCATTGTATCCGCGAACACAATGGTGTATTTTACATGCTGTATACAATGCGCGGATCACTGGTGGCCACTGCATTATTTCCTTCTAGACTTTGTCTAATGGCTCAGGAGTGATATTTTTGAGAGGCCTGATTCTTTAGCTCAAAGGGTGTACTGTTTATTGCAGGTCACTGGAGAAGGCTCAAACAGGCAAAGAGAAAAAATTCAGAGGCAACGTGAAGCCGTACCAGTCACAGAAGTTGGAAGCCAATGCAAACTTACTTTTAAGATGCCAGGTAACACAGATTTCCTTAAATGCTTTTTTTATCACTTACAAGTTTGTCAAGTTGCAAAATGTACATAGTTGATACACTTGGTTCCATTTTTGATTTCAGGTATCACCTCATTCGACCTCAGTGCTAGTGTGACGTCACCTGGCGGTGTAACGGAAGATGCTGTCATCAACGAAATCAAGGATGGGCTCTATGCTGTTCATTTTGTACCTAAGGAACTAGGTATTCACACTGTGTCTGTCCGATACAAGGATATCCATATTCCCGGTAAGTAATATTTAATGGAAATGTCTTTTTCTACTACTAACCCGAGTAATCGTCATTTTTGACCCCAGTGCCCTATTGAGAAGTATCTTTTATCTCCAGAAATACCCGAGGTATATAAAACGTCACTCAGGGTTAAATCGTTTGAAATAGCATCATTCGCCTGGACGATTCCATCGCGCCTCGTAGGTCTGCTTATCTCGTACAAAAGCCGCTTATAGTGATCTCGGGGTGGGCGCAGTGAGGTCCTAGACAGCACCATATTTTTCAAATTGAGGAAAAAGTTAAAAAAACCTTGGTTCTTTAATAGAACAGTATCCACTTCGAATAGCGTTTATAAGCAACATGTGGCACGGAACTTTTTTATCAAATGAACAGTCAGTCGGTGCCGCTTTACTATAAATTAGCTTTGTTATTTCAAGCGTAGTTTTTTAAACGAATGTCCCAATACCCTGTATTGTTCATTATATCAAATTAATTTTTGCATGTAGTATAGTTGACTGTTGAGCATTTTCCCACTTCCTCTTCTCAGAGGTTCATTCCATTCACACCTTACTAAACTTCTGACCTGCAAGGTTTTATTTAAAGGTGAAGATCATATCATATGAATTTTTGATACGCATACATAAAAAAAAGGTGGAAAAAAAGTGGCGGTAACGAGATTTGAACCTGCACCTTCCCGAATCCGTCGTTAGGACCACTGCCAGTTGTGGAGGTGCAGGTTCAAATCTCGACATCGCCTAGTTTTTTTTTAGATTTATTTTTTTTTATTCAAAAAGACCGCCTCGGTGTAAAAAAATAATACTCTTTTTTGTTTCAGGCTCACCATTCCAGTTCACTGTTGGTCCATATCGCGACCATGGTGCCCATTTGGTGAAGGCCGGTGGCGCAGGACTCGAAAGAGGTGAACAAGGTGAACTTAACGAGTTCAACGTGTGGACGAGAGAGGCTGGAAGTGGCCAGTTGGCCATTTCGGTGGAGGGTCCGAGCAAGGCTGAAATCAACTTCACCGATCGTAAAGATGGGTCTTGTGATGTTTCATACAAAGTTTCTGAGCCTGGTAAGTAGTTTTTACATTTTATCCAAGCACTTATCTCTAAATTTGGAATCATTCAAAAATTTATAATTCTTAATACGTACAGAAGCAAGTAAGGTATCTTCCAGCTCGTGTTTTTTTTTTGGTCTTGTAATAGTTTTTTGGTTCAAGACAATATATGGTAGGGATTGTAGAGAAAATGAGTTGAATAGGAATCGGCGTAGATGTGGAGAATTCCACAAGTACGAAAAATACAGAATGTATCCAGAATTTTTTTGAGCATGCCAGAATGAGTGACGAAACCTTCGATTATATTCTAATTAATATTCAACCAGAATTGGAAAAAAGTCAATGCAGATAGAATTTTAAGTGAAACATAGTTTTGGACATTAAGGTATTTACCTATCTATATAAGGGATGACACTTAGTTAGCTGAGCATATTTTCGGGAATGGTAATTCTCAAGCTTAGTTACACCAGCCGTTTTTGATTAAAACATAATTGCAGGCCCTAGTTTTTGGGTGTAGTTGAAAGAAATGAGACTGAAAATGAGCGCAAACGTGAAAGTTCTGAAATATTCTACTATATAATATGTTTTTATTAAATGTTTTCGACGACTGTGCGATGTTGCCAGATTTCAATAATTCATAATAGGTTTTCGTGTTGATGCATATTCTTAATCATTAAGATTGTATGTATGTCTTCGAACTCCACACAACCCTAAATAACGTCTAGTGCGCCGTGACTCAAAGAGGGGGAAATTCTAGACTAGAACGAGAGCTGCTGCGCGTGGAAATGCGTATTTTCGTTAATTTTTTTATATTTCTTTCATATGGCAACGTCACGATATGTATAGATAATATCAACAATATATTCTGCATTTGCTGGCGTTTCTAATCTCATTTCTCATCAAACCTAGTGCCTATTCGAACGGAGAAAGAAAAAAGACTGGTATAGCTAAGCTAGAGAATTACCTGTGAAATGATAGTACCCATCAAAAAACAACTTTCCCGAAAAAACATATGGTCGCAAACATAATTTTTTCATAACTAAACTTTTTCGGAACTATCATTGCCCAAAATATGGTTAGCTAATTAAAAGTATATTAATATTTCATGAAATTAAAATACTTTACAATAATATGTTATTTATTTGAGTGCTGTGGGTGGCCAGACTACCAAATAGCTGGCCTAGCAAGTATTTCAGTGATAAAACCCTCGGTGTTCATTTTTCGAGGCAAAAAAACTAAACTAGTTTGTTCACTGCACTATTCGCCGCGACTGCCGCACGAATACGTGGCTTGCGCCGTAGTGATTCATACCTTTGTTTCATTCACCCGCCGCGTCGAAAGTCGCCGCGTGGTTCGCTTGTTACATTTCGCCGGTCGCTTCGCCATTCGACGCTGCGCGTGGCTTGATAAGTACATTTCTATGCGTTTGTTTTAGTCACTGGACGCTTCGCCGTTCGCACCGCGCGAATATTCGCTGTGGCGAATGTTGTGTGGCCAGGTAGTTATCCTGACGTGCTCAAGCGCCTACACTAGCAAATCCAGTTATTTATGTGCCATTTTAATGCTTAGATACGAGATACACAGAAAAGCAATGCATAGATCTCTGCCTTAAATACAAACATCGCCCACAAGAAACGGAAATTATTTTTCTAGGTCCAAAAGTCCCTGTGCCACTCTGCCTAACTGCCATCTCATTGCTACGTATCCGGCAAATAGAAAGAGAAAGTATTCGTCTGTGTCCAAAAGTCCCTCTGCCAGGGCCTCCGTACTCCTGAGTTAGGGAGCTACCCGTAAACCCGCCTAATAACCCGCCTCCCTCAATGACAAGCTCGCCCCGTGACTCCAGCCCTCTTTCGTACGATTTTATTGAAACTTAGAAATTATGTATGAAAAATAATTTCAGACAAATGTTCTCCTCTAGAAGCCACGCAAACATGAGCCCTCTTGATCACTTTGTGGTAGGTTTCGGGAGGAATATTTTCAATCGCTTCCGTAATATGGTTCTTCAGCTGCTCTACAGTATTTGATTTATTGGCATAAACCCTATTTCTCAAAAATCCCTATAAATAAGGCAGGAGCCGTTAAATGTGGTGGCCTTGGTGGCCAGTTGACTCCACCAAATCGAGAAATTAAACGTCCCGGAAGTATTGTTCGCAGAGGAGTCATTGTCTCCTTAGCTGTGTGACCAGTTGTTCCGTCCTGCTTGATCCACATGTTTTGCACGTTAAATTGTTGGATTTGAGGAGCCAGAAAGTTTTGCAACATAGAGAATTACCTGTAGCGTCTTCAAAGAAGTAAGATCCAATGACACCTCCATACCAAACACCGCACCAACCTGTGACTCGACCAGGATGTAGTGGTCGTTGATGGATGACACTCTAATACCCAGATATGACAATTTTCCTTATTAACAAATCCTTTCATATCGAAGTGGGCTTCATCTGGCATTCTCAGTTGTCGGTAAAAATCGTTATTTTGGGTATTAAGCTGCAATATTGCATGACTCTATTGTCGGAGATTTTCATGGTCACTGGGTTAACTGAATTTTGTATGGCCGCAAATGCAAAATAGTGCATAATGACGTGCGACGAATACCCAATTCTTGAGAACGATGTCTTGTAAACGTCTCAGGGCGGTCCACCTCACTTTCACTCCTTCGATATTTGCCGGAGTATGAACACATCGAACACGGCCCAACTTTGGCAAGTCTCTAACTTCACCTGTTTGTTAAAATTTCCGCACCAACTAACGAATGCTGATGACACTGGACACATTATTTCGACCGAAATCTTGTCGTAGCGTCGGAATTGTTGCAACAGTCGACTCATTATTTAAGTGAAACGTTTTAACAATATGGACGCGTTGTGAGATCGGGTAGCGCTCCAAGATGAATTGGACACATGTGCTTTAAACAACTACTACGGCGCCACCTACTTAAGTGCGTGTATCAAAAATGGTGCGCAATTTAAGTCAGTCAGTTATATAGTATATTAGCCACCCTGTAATTAGGATACTTAATTATGGAAAAGGTATTTTGACAGGCCATATCTGGAAGATTCTTATAACTATGAGCAGTTTTTGTACGAGCCTTGTTGAATATGCTGTAATATTATTGACAACAGACAAAATTGTGGTTTAGCCATCAACTCGAACAACTTTTTACTGCCAGCCTTTCTTCACCGATACATCATTCGAGAACACAACCTACGAAAGACCTTAAGATAACTTCAGAAAAAAATACTACACTCTCAAAATTAGCCATATAAATTCTTAAAAACGGCGATAAGTCATAAACCGTGCACAATGGGATAAAGACGTGTGGTTTTTTGTTGAAAATGACCCTTCCTACCATAATCTTTCGTTGGAATTTTTTGAATGGTCTGATCTTTAAGTTGATAAATCTTACTCGTGTTTAGATCAGACTTTCTAAAAATATCATTTTAAGTCATTATCATTCAAGCCGTAAAAAATAAAAAATATTTAGTCCGTTCCTAGCAGTCTAAGGGCCGCATCGTCAGTCGTTCCTGCAATAATTGTAGGACGCCGTTAAGGCCTCCTTGATTTTTATAGTTTTCTATGCTCTATTTTGAGGTTAAGTTACAAACATCTATTTGCATCAAATTGTTATATTAGACTGAAATTCCCTGCAATTCAAAAAGAAAGCATAGCCTCACTATAAGAGAGCGCTGACCCTGGCATGGATCAGTATAAATCTAGAAATACCCCAGCCTTTCGAAGGAGAGAAGAGACTATGGGAATCAAGGCGGTCATAAAGGCGTCCTACAATTGTAGGAACCACTGACGATAGAGACATCATTATATGAGGACCCAAGTGATCAAAATTTCGCTGAATTATGCAGCGTCGTGATTTATTTATTTAAGGAAAACCATTTTTAGTAGCATCCCTCAGGGGCCTAGATCTTCGCAGTGGAGCCACGTAGAACATCTTTTCATAGGAGCTTGTATCCTATTTTTTGTGTTCTATATGTAAGTGCGATTGATGGACATGTTATTCTGAGACACCCTTATGCTGGTATTGTGTCTTTTGTTCGGGTTAATGCAGGTCCAACTGCTCTGGTTGGTTATTACGAGGTTAACTCATCAGGTTAATAACACGCCTCCTTCACTCATAATTACAGAATTTATAAGAAATTGGCACTGCTCCAAAGTCGAATTTTAACAGCGTGTTTTGAAGTGGCTTATATGTAGTGACAAAAAATCTCAAGGTAGCTTTCAAGTTAATTTTAGCAGATTGAATCATATAGTATAGTTATAGTAAGATATTTTTCGTATGTGGTAAGCGTCAGAACCAAAATGTTTGTTGTTCATACCGAATGATCGATGTGTGACAATGTACAAAGTGTTCCAAGAAATCAACCTAGGATCAGCAACGGAGAGCTCAAAAGAAGGTCCATAGCTTAACGATAAGAGTGGGGGGAAACCTTGACATATATACTTGAGTTTCATTAACAGGCATAGTGCAAATCTATTTTTAAATTATTTCGTTGATACAGTGGATACACCTGGAGGAATGTAAGTAGATGGTTTGACGATTTTTTTGACTGATCGAAAGTTATAGAGACTCAAAATCTGTAAGTACGGCTTCTAGCATATTTCGCTCAAGATGATATTGTAGCATTGTGACACTTGACACTACACAGCCCACAGTAATTTCACAATTTATTTTGAATCTGTTGCTATTTTCTCAAACTGTCACTCAGTTGACAGACGTTATGTTTGGACCGAATTTACTGTTAATATTTATTTAAGCAATCCATGAATTGACCATATTCATATGAATGTTTGATGAAATGATATGACGGTATATTCAGAGTTCCCGCTCATATTTGGAAGAGCTCAAACTAAAATTACACAAATTTGAAAGGCTCTTGAAAATCTTCAAACCAATCTCATTAGGCTGATTTAAGGTGTAATAAAAAATGCTTGCAAACTGATATTGTCAGAACATTATTTTTGTACATTTTCCAAATACTCGATGGTTTTGGAGCGTAGTA